ACAGCCACTGAAAGCAAGTTCCACCAGGTGTTGAAGGTTCTTAACGTACTCTTCATTGTCCTCGTCAGCTATTTAGAAACGGAGTAAGAAGTCTCTGGAGAGGGTTTGTTCTTCCAGATCAATGACAAGTTGAGCCAACGTATCGCAGCATTGATCAATGTCGGTATTGTGGGTGATGCCGGTGTCGACTGTGACCAAAAATAAAACATGGTTAGAGCGCGGGTAGTTTGCGGTGTTCTTTGGCACTAGGGATAGAGATGGAGGCTAAATTTAGCAGTTTTCAGCTAGTCTTTGAAGTTCATGTCATCTCCGAAAGGGGGGAGGTTCACCGGCGGTGCCACCAATGTAGAACGAGACTCGTAGATCCCCTCTTCCTTGGTCCTCGTGCTCTTAGGACATCCGGGTTGATTCGACTTTGATATGTTTATTAGGATAAGTCGATGGGGGAATAAAGCGCAAGTGGACGCGGAAGCCCTCTTCGGCTTGCGGGATGTTGACACCTGTCACGAGGTTCCACTTGTATCTTCGCCTTCTCTCTGAAAGGAATATCACAACAGCATAAGTATTGCAAATTCACAATTGGTGCTATTTTGAGTAAAAGTGCCCTATTATTAGGAATTGGTGAAGTAATAAGTCTAGGTATGAAAGGCAATTAAGCGAAATATAGATCAACTTATAATCAAGGCAATTTTAGGTGTGGATTGTCTCGCTGACTAATTTAGTGCAATCGTTGAGGGCATGTTACTAATGGGAAGGAAGGCCTCCCGACACATTAAACGCACATTGGGACCACGAGGGGATTGCTCATCTTTAACGCTTTTCTGGACTTGTCAAAATGATAGCAAGCCTACTCACCACCATTGGAGAATTTGGCACCAGTGTCATGCTTGTTCTGCATAAAATAGTAGAGCACTAATATTTAATGTATTACAGTGTTGAGCTGAAATTCCAAATTGATTTGCCTAGCCGAGTCAATGGGTGATTGGCCGCTCTAGCTATGCAGTTCCCTGCTGTCAAATAATACTTGAAGCGTTGTACGTGGTACTTATGGTAATGCTCTTCCGTTTGGTGATGCAATTCAATTTTATCTATTACCGTAGTTTTATACTCGCGTAAGTATTGATGTATCCTCGACTTGGAGTGTATTTTTGATGGGAAACCTTACCCAAGGCCAGGTCTAAAGTATTGTTGTCCAAAGAAAAACGGTTATGCATGCGCTTGACATTAAGGTAATGCTAAAAATGATGTGCAGGATTTCTTACCCTTTTTTTCCGGATATTTCTATTCCGCTCTGTTTTACCAAAGTAGCTAAAGGGCTTAAAACCCTTGTGGAACGTAAGATAGTAACTACTCAGCACTATACAACCACAGCAATCTGACTTGCTAGATGGCAGTGATTGTCCTGACATACTTCTCAAAGATTATGTAAAGAGAAGTGTTTTTGGTGTGTTCAATATATTTTTCTGAATGAATTTGGCAACATTTCCAAAACAGCTAAATGAAGACTGTTTGGATTTGCCCTTAAAATATGGCTGTCATGTCATAACATCTGAAAATCGCTGCTTCTTTAATTCGAGTATGGCTTCCGTTATACCTTTAAAGACTACCCAAAGGCTAAGCAAAGTTGATTTGAAAGGCAGAGCTCTAGATTAAGCCGCCAATTATCTACACATTATCGTAAAGCTTTGCGTTTGTTTATCACGGGTTACACTTTTACTCTGCGTCATTTTCTTTTTGCCGGGCCAGTAGCCAAACGTTGCAAAAAATTGGGGTGCTATATAACTGCTGACCAGGATTTGTTATTATTCCAACTCATGACTGCGTAAAGTAAAGCTACTATCCCAATATCACGTATGAATTACTGGTGAGCTGTGCAACACCATAACATATGGTCAGCTTATGCCGCTCACGTGGTCAAGCGGACCACAAATATCCCTGAGGAGACAAAATCCGATCCCCCTTACACTTTAACAAACCGCACAAGTTAAAATAATTTCCCACAAAATATTTTAGTTCAACATGATGCCATGTCTTTTGGACATACAACATTGGGGAAGAGGGGGAACATGGAGTCTGCTAAATATCAAATAATTTTTGCATTCTTATTTATTCCTTGTTCAAAGCTTCCGAAAACTACTATAATAAAAGTGTTTAGTCTTTTTTACTTACAGCTAAAATTATTTTATTTGTAAGCCAGCTTGTTTTAATGGTGCAAATCCTGGATGTGACATGGAAACACAAATACCCCCGACTCGACATTCCCCAATGCCCTTGAAGTTCGTACATCTGAATTAAGTATCATAATGTAGTTAAGGCTGTTACCTGAATACACGAGCAGTTGACTCGTTTAGGAGGCTTATTTAGGATTAGTATTTGTTCGGACTTCTGGGCACGTAATTTTTTAACTTTTTTGGGGCTATTTTAATGTGACGTAGTGGTGCGTAAATGGTCCTGGAGGTGTGGTTAAATATTTAATGTTACATTATATTACATATATATGTAATTAGCACAACGATCCCAGGATTTGGTTTGCAGTTGAAATGATAGTTCCACTAAAATGCCACAAGTATTTTTACTTATTTCTTTAATATTTTGGATGTTTGTTGGTTAATAGTTAGTTGTACTAGTTAAGTACTTTGAAATGACATAATCACTGGGCGGTTTGCTCTTTTGATATTACTTGTTAATTTTTTGGGTCTTCCTTGGCTTTTAATGACAAAATCACCGTTTGGTTCACACGCATTTGAAAATGACCATGACTACATGGAGGCCTCTTGCTGAATATTATGACCACTCCTGTGTGCATTGCAATTGCTTTCTACTTATCCCAATCGACTAGACTGCACCTGCTAGGTTTAATGTACTCCATTGTTATAGTGATTAGGAGGATCTCCAAAATTCTTTTACTTGTCGTTACAAATAAGTCAGTAATATTTTCGTCGTTCCTCCTCCAAGATTTGTTTTGTACAATTAATAATGTAGATTTATAAGAAAGGAATACAGTTCTACGAATTCCATTCATTCGACTTTTGTTGCTAAGTTATCAAAAAGTTGCTAATGCTCTGATCTCCGGATTTCAGTCCAACGCAGGTTTGCTTAAGCAATTCGCTCCGAAACAAAGACCGCCCGATTTCTCAGTGCAAGGAACCAGCGGACCTAATCAAGCAGGACACAAAAGTGCCTGACCATCCTAACGTCTCGCTTGATAATCTTCAACCATTCAATGAGTCCGGTATGTACTCTGATCTTTAAAATAGCGCATTTCAGAGATTCTGAGTGATTACGCCAAGCAGCCAAGTAACCCAATGTATGAAACAACAAACTCTGAATACGGCAAATACAAGCCAACTGTCCACACGATGCCAGTAGAGTATCATCAGAGGAATGCAACCTTCACAAAGGTACGTCATCGAACAGCTGTCACCTCTTTTCAGCGATATGTAGGTACTGGAAACTATCGAAATCACTCACTAAATACCGCCAAAGACCCTTCTTACACTAACTGATGAATCAAATCAACTGCAATGGACTCTTTCTAAGCGATTCAACACAATCGACCTTACTAAAACCGATTCCAAGCCAGCTACTTATTTTTAAACCAAATCTGAAGTTTGCATTTTATTGGAGATAGGAGAGGCAGACAGTACATGAGTAGAACGCTGAAATCAATTGTAAGATAGCATTTTTGAATACAGTAATGGCGCTGCGTCCCCAAAACCTAAGTATACACGTCTTCGTGAAGCAGAATCTGTTTTACTGCATAACCAAACATTCTAAAACGTAAATATTTGAGAAATATTGCCGAGTTAAAGGTTAGTATCAAACATGTTTAAGCCCTGACAATAAATGATGCACAGTGACTCCAAGAGAAATTGTGAAAATGAGCATTCCAAAAGCAGGTTTTATCTTAAAGCTTATGTACATAATGTGGGAAGCATAGTACAGTGTCAACTAAAAAATTTCCCATGAAGTGATAAGACATGTCACGCATGAATCAGCTGGGCACGGAGAGAGCGAGCCAGTAAATAGAGAAGGGTAGAGGAAGAGATAGCTGGCTAGGCGACCCATTTAAGGCAGCGAGTATCGTTGTGCACATCACGACACTTGATGCTGCAATAACGCGAGCCGCACACCACACAAACGTAAGCGCCGAGGAAGCCACAGACGGAGCAGAACTTGCGAGGTGGGAGACGGCTGTCGGGAACGGCGGCAGTGAAGTATGAGGCACCAACTTGGCCCCCTTTCGTCGCCTGGTACTCCTCGTCCAGCAGCAACTCAAAGGTCTTTTTAAACTTCGCCCGTCCGATTGTAGTTCGACGTCGACGCTTCGCATGACCAGGTGTATCCTATAAAGAGCCAAAAGAGTAGACAATCCTATCGTTTCAAACGTAGAAAGTTTCAATGAATTTTACTGAATGGTATCCGAATAGCTTTTGGACCTCATGGAACCATGCAGACTTAGAACTTTAAAGAAAATTGGGGTTACCTAGAATGTTGTAATGTTTGATGGTCAACATCAATAATGGGATCACTAAATATCATAAGAGGCATAAATAAACCAGAGCATCAATTGACAAATAAAATGGATGAATCTAGAGTTAAATAATACCCCGAATGCCTGTGTATACCAAACATACGTGATATCTAGCCTTCTGTACGTGCATGGATGAAAAATTAAAAAAGTATTTACATCTTCAAACTTTGGCCTTTTGGTCGTCTTGGTATCATTCAGGGAATCCTCAACATGATTATCCTGTTCGAGAATTTCAAGAGTTTTACGAAGACGGCGCTTTCTAGCATCATTGTCAAGAATGCGCCGTTGGACTTCCCTTAAAACGTCTCGTTTGTCCATCTTCAAAAAAAACATTAGAAAGTAGAATCGAAATATATTGATATTAGAGTCAGTCAAAGAGCACTAAGAAACTACTCACTGTCATCACCGCGAAATACGTGGATTTAGCGACTGCTACCTATGCACACTGGAAGGAGAAAAGGGCAATAAGCTCGAAAAACAGCAACTAAGGGCACTGAAATTAACATATGAAACGTCACAGAAAGACAAAATACGATTCTACCTCATTACGACCCCAACGCAACTACAAAAATAGCTAACAACATGAAAAGGAAATGGGGTTCCTACACAACAGAAAAGTAGTCTGCAATCGTCATCCTACAAAGACATCAACTTTATCATCCAACCATTGGATCAGGGGCGTAAACACATAAATGCATGCACAAAAACCCTACACCAACCACCTTTGAGAGAAAAAATACCGAGTGGCACATGACGAGGCAAGTCACACACAATTTTAAAATCAACGCGCTCAATTTTAATTATTTCAAACCTTTCACTAGGACATTTCTTAATCGCCCGCAGATAGAGTATAATATAACAGCAAAATTTGTTAATGGATAACTTAGGATCGCATCAACAAGGGGAAAGTCACTTGTTTTACTTTATTGGCCCTGAAGCCGCAACGTCCGTACTGGTCCGTTTCTCACTCCGGCGATGGTTTGCTCTAGTTTTTCTCGACTTTCTAGATATTCTACTCATTCTTCAAAACGCTTGTAGGCAAAGATGTTGTTGTAGAGCTTAAGAACGACTTATGGTTTGCGCTGTCCTCCACAAAGTGATACTTTTTTTTAGCATCCACGGCACCCTCCACTCCGTTGACCAATACCACAACTTTCGACTCTCGGACATAACCGTTACGGACCCAGAAAAACACCCTTACATGGTAAAGTTGTGCTCCTCTAATAAAATATAGTTGTCTGTTAGGAACTGTTTCATCAGAGGCTCAATTGTTCGATACGTGCAGCTGCCCGCTGATGAGTGTGACGTCTACGAGCTCCAGAACGCATCACGAAAGGAAGCCACCCTTGGAAAACAACAGCAGCAACAGCAGGCTACCTGAGGGACATACTTATTTGTGAACGTATTAAAAGTTTATTACTGTGTCCGACGACTTTGTCATTGACCACCGGGTCGACCGTGGCCACTCCCAGGTTGCACTGTGGCGCCCAAATTATCCCTCTGGAAGCGTTGTAAAGTGGACGAATAAAAACACCAACACCTTAAATAAGTATGGAGGAACCGCTGTATTTCTAATAAAATTTAACAGAACGCAATGGGATTGAATAGTGACTCAGCCCACTAGATTTAGCGCAGGCCCCCGACGGACGAAACGACACACATTTCTCCTCTCATTAGTTGTCTACTGCTAACCCCATCCCCAGACACCGGTTTCGTCTCTTTCCTTTGGATGGGACATTATGTAGTCACCTTCGAAATTTGGAGTCGCAAAAATATAAATTTAAAGATTTGTATCCTGTACGTGTAGATTGATCCCCTCTATGAAGGGAGGTTGGCGCTTGTGATTGTCTCGAAGGATATTACGCCAGTTTGGACCAGCAGCCTTCGATATTTTTGGATTATGTAAGTCCTCTCGCATTCTTTCAGCCTCGATTTGTATCATTTGTTCACAGATCGACGTCTCCACTGCATCTAGAAGTGGTGGAACGTATCTCTGACACCAGTTATTAGAGGCCTGGTCCCGTTTTCCAACGCAAGCTCGAAGGAATTTTACTTTGTGAAGAGCCGACGCAACTGCTATGTTCTTCGGCTTCACTGCCAGCAGAGCCTGTGTAATCTCACGTAAAGCGCGATCCACGAATGTGTCAAACTTTCGTAGCAGACAGTGAAGATCATCAGTCAGCAGGAGTATTAATTTGTGCGAGCACGTTAGATGATTTTGGGCCAAACGCGACTGTAAAGAGCCCAAGACTTCCAAAAAGTTGGTGAAAATAATCATTTTTGTTGCAAGGCTTTTGACAATTCGGGTTTTGTTCGAGCCGTTCTTCTGGGTCACTTGAGGTTGAAAGTACGATACAAGTTTGAGCAAAAGGTCGCAGGCATCCACGTGCATGTCAGACAGGTGGTCACCATTAAAATATCTGAAAGAAAATAATAAAGTTCGACCCTAAACTTGTTGGACGGACTGCTTTTATTCAAATTCATAGGCAAATCGGATGTGTGGTTGCAGTATCAGAAATCAATGAGAATTGCTAATAATATGAACGGGGGCGAGTTGATAATATGGGGGAAGTTTGGACAACATCTCGGTTACCGACACTCAAAACTGATTGAGGGTCCTTATCTATGCCTACAGTGCATTGCAAGGGTGAGCTTACCTTGCCACAAAAACGAATCCTAACAGAGTTTCAGCTAGTGAAAAGATGACAGAGGGATGTGGCTCGATCGAAAGCAATTTCGATAATGGTCGTGCGTCCATGCCCATCTGCTCTGATTCACTGGGGTCGATGAAATCATCAGGAAAGGAAGTGACGAGCTTCTGTGCAGCTAACTGCCACCAAGGCGACCAAGCAGGCACTACGGCGTAGATATTGCCTGTTGCCAGCAGTCTGTGAAACTCTCGTTTCTCTTCGGTTGACAGCAATTTCCATACTTCCTCAGTATCAATGTCCTCTGAAGTCAAATCGATAGCCTTCAACCTTTAATATGAAACAAGAACCAGATACCTAGTTAACCATCTCGCATGCTTAAAGTAGGGTTTGCTGGTAAATGTACATACAATCCAAACTAAAGCAGTATAACTGGGCTTCTACTCTCTAAAATGCTTTGGTTGAATAAGATTGGTACCGTATTCATGAATGGCATTCGAATCAACGATAAGGGGTCAGCCGGGAGAGGCAGAATCGACGCTAAACTAACTACCAGAATCGTTAAAGGAAAGTGAGTGGACTTCTGTTAAAAGCAAAAGTTTGAAAGACTTGGATGTGTATAATTAAAAAAATGAATACCTTTCCGACAAATCACCAGGATCATCTTCAGAGGAGCTTTCATCTCCGCTGCCTTCAGATTGGTACTTCGCATCATCGAAGTTGTAAGAATTTCCATCTTGTGATAACATTCGTTCGACTTGCTGCCGTTTTTCGTCATCAACTGCCAGGTCTTGGATGGCATTTTCACAACACTCGCGATAAAATTCTTCCGAACATTTACCATGTCGACGATCTCTGTAGCAAGCCAAAGAGCAGTAATTTATGAAGCATCGCGGACAGGTGTACTTTGCACTTTTACTAGTACAAATTTTACAAGTCAATACTGTAGTATATGAATTTGTCGAAGCTACTTCCATGCGAGCTAATGCAAGCAGACAGACAAATTGGAACCTGGTCGTATGATCGCGGTTTCAGCCAATTGGAAACCTCATGAGAGAGAGGCGTGATCCATTATTCGAGCGGTAGAGGAAAACTAGTAGGGTTCCAGTAATAAAGTTAGCGAATGTTGAGGACGCGATTTTTGATGCCAAAACGAAAACGATTATAGAAGAATAAGGAGCGGTGCAAGGTGTTAAAACCAAGGTGTCACCAAAATTAGGAGACGTTTTTAACAGGCGTCGTAAAAGCTAAGAACAAAGAACTGTATGGTCGACAACATTTGCGTCTTGGTTAATTGGTTATTAACAGTAATGAAATTACACGAAACAACGATCTGTTATGTATGTAATAGAACAACCTAATATGCATTCGGTAGGTGAAAGGCGACTAATATCTTGAGTATTGTTCAGTCTGGGTGTTGCCATTGTGCGTTAGTCCAAATGTGGTGTGTGCATTTACCCCACAATGGTTGTAACTAAAATCCACTAAATGAATTAGCAAATTTGTACCTACTAATCCGCATAGAACTGTATTTGTTGAAATCAAATGGGTTTACTGGGTTCAGAAAGCCAAATTTTGCGATCCTTTGTCCAGCAGTAACATGTCTAAAATATAATTAAATGCTCACGCAAATACAAAGGCATTAATTGCTTGTTTACAAAACCTGCAAGGTAAAATGTGCCTTAATTTCATAACCTGCTAGGATAGTTAAAAATAAACCTTGCCTGCTCTTAAATTGCTCGTTGAAAACATTTTGGACGAACAAGTAATACAAATCACACTGAGCTACAATGATAGCTGCCACGCATCTCTTGGAATTAAAGTTTTTATGTACCATTTCGCCATAAATTCTGCAAGTTTAGTTGACATTATGCGTCTTTTTTATTAAAATTACTGGGGTAATCTTTGCGGCATCTAGTGATTGTTTGTTGCTGAAACCACAGAAAATTCATTCAATCCTGCCGATATTTGTTTAGCTCTACCAATAGTTGACCAGTTTCATCGTCCATTAGCCATTTGTTGTAGACCTGTGGTAGTGATGGCTACGAAAAGTCCTAGGGAGGCTCTTCTCACTAAAGCCAAATTGGCTGAGCAAATTGAGCGATATGATGGTGAGTTATTGAGAACATGTTGTATTCTGTGCCCTTAGATATGGCCCAATTCATGCATAAGATCGTGGATCTTAATGATGAATCCGCTCCCGAGTTAACCGTCGAGGAGCGTAACCTCCTTTCTGTCGCTTATAAGAATGTGATTGGTGCTCGTCGTTCTTCGTGGCGAATCATCAGTGCGATTGAGTCCAAGGATGAGGGCAATGAACGCGTCAAGAATATTAGGGCATGCCGCGAACAAGTTGAGAAGGAACTTAAGCAAATGGCTAATGAGATCTTGTCCCTTCTTGAAAAGACACTTATTCCTCGTGCGCAGAATGCTGATTCTAAAGTATTTTATTACAAAATGTAAGCCACTGGTAGTGTTAATTTGCTGCTTAGGCAGGGCGATTACAACAGATACCTTGCCGAGATCGCTACGGCATCTGAACGGGATGAGGTTGCAAAACGTAGTTTGGATGCTTACAAGGTTGCCACTGACATTGGTACTGCTGAGCTTCAGCCAACCCATCCTATCCGACTTGGCTTGGCTTTGAATTTCTCTGTTTTTTACTATGAAATTATGAATAAGCCCCAGCAAGCCTGTCAAATTGCCAAACAGGCGTTTGACGATGCTATTGCTGAACTTGATACTCTCAATGAAGAGAGTTACAAGGATTCGACCCTCATAATGCAACTGCTTCGCGATAACCTCACCCTGTGGAGGTCCGATGTTGACAATGACGGTAAGTAATGTGCTTGGCAATTACTCTTTTAGAAGCGGAGAAAAATTCCCCCGAGGGTGACAAGCGGGATTAGGTTTATTTCTGTTATTCTGGCTAATCATTCAATCCTCTTCGTTGCGAGATTGCTACCATGGTTCAAGTTTGACACGCATTTTCTGTACACTGTGAAGGTAGTACTCACTTCTCTCCCCCGGTAACATGTTACAATTTTCGTGCATGTCCAATATAGTCTCTGTGTGCTACGTGTCTTTGCATCTTTGTAATCAGCCTCTTCATCATTCTACTGCGAAGCTGAAACCCCTTTTGAGTTCTGTATCTGCACAACATTCTGGAATGATACTCACTGAAACTTTGTCTTGCCTTTAGTGGTGGGGGTGCTGCTGTCTGATCTTGATTTCTGTTACGTTGGCACTTGCGATCGTATTGTAACTGCAGTCCGTTCGCGTAGTCGGTGGCAGTTATTTGGGATTTGGCTGTTGGAACGTTTCTGCACTGCTTTCGTGGAGGTGGCGGCGTTTGTGTCCACCTAGTCCACGTCACAATTGGGTTTGGTGTGATTGTCGGGATCCAGCTGGTTTTGTGCAGTGCCTTTTTGAGCGCTGGCTGATCGCGGTTGTCTGGTTTCTGTGGCCTCGCCGACTCGTGTATGTATCTCGGGATGGCTGTTAAGTTGTTTTGTTTCTTCTGTCGTTTGGATCATAATTTAAACTCAAAATAGGTAGGAATGGGTCAGGAATGCCGTTTACCCTTACCTGCTCCGGATTCTGCGGCGAAGAAACGACTTTGGGTGATATGCATCATTCCTTTTCACTTCGGCAACTTTAATTCACCTTAGTGCGTGTAACTTACATTCTATCACCTCCGGTTTTTCGCTTGGGATGTCTACACATCAATCGTGTTTCGTGGATGAAGGCGGCTAAATTCTGGTCGGTTATCCCGGCTATGCCTATTTTCGCCAGATTTTGCGTGAGTGGTCTTTTTTGCAGTGCTGTCATTCGCATGTGATGATGCGCTGATTCATTTGAAGTTCTGATGCCAATCGTGATGGAAACAGGAAAGTCTCAACAGATGTTGCAGCCATATGCTGGGTCCGTGTCGTGATAGCGCCGCAGAGTTGAAATGTATTCTACACGCGGAGATGATGTTGGTTAAATAATTTCGTGAACAGTGGTTTAATTTTCAGTTTAACATCATTAAAGTGTAAGTTACGGAGACTAAGTTAACCGCATGTAAGGGCTAGTCATCATGAGTCAGATTGCGAACTGAGAATGGCCTTATACGCCCTCATCCACTTAGTCCCCATTCATTTCAAGGTATCCTTAGTCGGCGTATGTTGCGCAATAAACCTCTGCTTTTTTAACGCGAAACTGTTGTAGTATTCAGGGACATATTTGCTAAAAACTGTGGACAATCTTCTATTTCACATTTCACATGCTAGATCGCAACGATATATCCTAATTGATTATTTGATATTCCTTTCCACAGATCGTCCGCCTACCACAGTGTTTAAGGTCGTGGTATTTTCATTTGAGTGTTTACTGTTGCACAGATGCCTAAACTAGTCGGCGAGATATTTTTGTCGCTCAGCACATTGGGACAGCGTTTGACCTCTCTTCAACCAATAGCATTCGTGACGGAGATGTCCTCAATCCTCGAGATGAGTCCATCTCGCCTAAAACCAAGTAAACTTTTGTCCTTGAGGATGGCTATCAGTTTTAGTGATTTTCTGAGAGAGACTCCTGACACGAGTTGATTTGAGTGAGATTGGGATTATTGATGATAAAGGTCTAATGAGGAGCAAATTATACATCACCTACAATCACTGTGGTCAGAATTCTTTGTAATACCTGAAAAAAGTCAACCGGAAAGTTATAACTACGCCGGAGGAGTTGCTCACTATTGCTCATACATCACAAACCCCACAGTCACAAAACCACTGGGGCGGACTTGTATACAACAGACAAAGTGCAAATAAAATTTACGCTTTTTGTGGTTGAACCCCTCGGTCGAGTGTTGTAAAACTGTTGAGGCAGTTTCGTCATATGAGTGGTGGGAGTTGAATAGTGAACCTGAAAATCCCCGAACAGCACAGTCTGGGGTCTGCGTTTCATCTCGAAATATTTAAAAGTCGCCTCACAGTTGTTTCTTTGGATGCTTTGGAGTCATCCGCCTAGCACTGACACCCAGCCCCAAGAGGAATGCGTAACACAGAAGTATGCAAAAAATATATCTATATATTCCTGCTGAAATCAATTTCAGATGCATTCTAAGAATTAAATAAGTGAAGGTATTGTAGAAAACTGTGTGGAGATAAGAAAGAAGAATAAGTCCCCTGCAAGAGTTGGTTATCACCACTTTCATCTGCCAAAATTATTTTTTGGCATAGGAACAGGTTTTATGTCAGCATATCAGTATCTGTTTCAGATATGGTATAGAAAGTGACTTGGAAAAGAAAAAAAAGGCTGTCTATTATCAAAAGGGTTAACCATGCTTCTGTCTTAACGATACCTGAAAGTTGAGTGCATGCCCTTTTTAGAAAAAAGTACTCATTATTAATGGCTTTGTAACAGTAAACAGGTCACTAGTGTTTAACGCAACCCTCCTTAACCCTTGCAATTCATTACAATGCAGTAACAGTTGAGCGTGTTACCTAATTTAAAATATGCGAATCTTTACTTACTAATTAACTTTCCTGCTATGGGCTGATACCATGATTAAATACTGCCCACCTAACTCATCGGTTGCCTCAATTACTCGCGGCACTACGCTTATCAGTTCGTGGTTTACGACTGACTTGCATACCCAAATTTTATGGCTTCCATTTTAACTGACAGGGGTTGGTTTGGCTAAACGAATGGCGATCAGTTTGATCTAGATATTTTAGGGTTGATTTGGGTTTTTACATGACCTGAGTAAGAGACTTTTTAAATAAATAAAGTTCCTTTGAGGAGTACTAAAGTGTTGCAGACGGCAGTGTGCGGCAAAAAGTTGTCTGCCACAAATGCCTCATGCAAAATTATTTACAATGGAAGCCTTATTGGAAAGCACTTTGGTGTCATTTGCCACTTGGGTTAGAGGAGAGATTTCGGCTACAAAGGTAACCCTTGTTTTATGGAATTTAGACGAATTGAATTTGAGGTGACTGCAGCAAGGGTCAAACACAAAATGTTACATTTCCGGTAATGCCATGAGGACACAATAAACCTGTGTTTCCACTCAGAATAGAGTAACATGTGCTGCACAGGCAATCCGGTTGACACTGGTAAAGCAGTATTACCAGCTGAAATTGATTTATTTGGTTTCAGCCTCGTTGTATTTATTTGACAATATCACATCGCCATAGCTACCCCAGATACTACTTTTGTCGAGGAAATTGAAACAACATTTGCTGAAGAACTGATTTTAGTGACTCCTCTAGCTCACATCTACCGACCTTAGAAGCGCCTGCATAGCTTGAATGTAATCCAAATGTTCTGGACAAGGATGCTTAATAGGTTAAAGTCCAAGTAAGGGCCAAAATTTAACCACATGGTACTCTTCCACCAATTTGCATCCCAATAGAACTATTTCAAAAAGTTTGACTGAACATTTGGTCATTATTAAGCAAATACATGTCTTTCACGGTACCACAGTCCAAAATATTGTATTCGCCTTTGGTAAAAATAGAACTGATCTCAGGATTTGACTGAAAATCGAGGAAATATCAGTTCGGATGATCACTAAGGTCTTGAAAATAGATTCAAGTCTTATGTTTTTCATGAATTAAGAGAAAACTGGGAGAGGGAGAGCTAATATTCTGTTTGGCCACACAAAACCATGACATCTTGCGCACCATGAGGTCACTTTATGCAACTAATGTTACGGTTATCCTCGCTTTTCCAGGATAGTTGACTGATGGTTTCAAAACAGCAAGAGGCTAGGGTATGACCGCTAATCCAAAACCTCCGATGTTGCACCTGCGAAAACACAACAAACTGATGATTTGGACAGCATGAGACACACGTACATAAACAGCCACGGCCAACCCATTGATCCCACCTGGCCAGCCAATCTCGCGACCACTACACGCGCACGTACACGCAAGTCAAGGCAACCTGGGGGAGGATGCGCTGTCCAGCGCCACTACTGGCCAATCCGATGACTATCCCAGTCGGGGGCTGGTTGGTGTCCAGAGCCAGTTCCCCGATGGTTATTTCTGTTGCCCTTCTATTTTGCGTCGTTAAAATCTGGATTTTGCTCAGAAATAAAGCGTCAGATGCGATGGTGCATATTGAACGGACAGAAAGAATGCATTTTCTCTACGCTCTCCGATAAGAAATTAAAATTGCCATAATCGAATTTCTTTGATTAAAAATAAAATTTTAAGAATACAAAGTAAATAAACCATTATGCTCGTGTTTTTGTTAGCCAACTATGCAAGCAGAAATTATCCGTGCAGGAAAATTCATGGATTCAGTAAGTGCTCCTACATATCTTAACGAAAACGCGGAGCTCAGTTTCACCTTTATTAAGTGGAACTGTTAATTGATTGACAAATCTTTGCTAGTCGGTTGCTGTACATCCACTTGGGATGACTTTAATATAGACTTTTGTACATGAACACGAATTATGTTTTGGCTGGTCTCAACACTCAAAGGGGTGCAAAGATGCAGAATATCCTGTTTACATGCTTTAAAATGCTAAAAGCCTTTAGTTTGTTAAGTGTTAAATTCTTAAATAAATTGCTTAGTCAGTCAAGGCTGATGCTTTAGGCTGAGTTGATAAAAATCAGGGTGTAAATCCACATAAGTGATTTCATGTGACAAAACATGTATTTCGTAGACCAAAACTTCACTAGTCATTGCAAAGGATCAGTATCATTGGGACGGGTGACGAGAACTGCAACCTCTTTTCGAACGTGTACGATAAAAATTTAGATTCTTACATGCCATGTTTTCCAGAAATGAAGTGCGCAATTCATTTCTGTGCATAAAATCACATTTCTGCGCGAATGCACTACACCTAGCAGCGAAATTCTGGTCAAATGTAGTGAATGTGATTGCCAAGATGTATGGAATTTTACTGTTTGTAATT